GTTTTACGAAGTCCCCTTTGATCTACCAGCTTAGGAGAAGATGAAAACAAGAAGTTTACTAGTCTGAAAGAAAGGACGTAAGATAAGAGTGAAAATCCAAATTGGAGCTGAATACTACGCATGCACAAGACTTTGGCATTAGAGCGCGATATTTAACAAATTGAGAAAAAAATGAAGGCAAAAAACAAAGGCAAGGCAATGATATGAAAATGCTTTCATGCTCAGGGATAGATTTTTAATCGGGGAATCCGTCCATGCTAAAAAGATCCGAAACTTATGTGAAGTGACGAAAATATATGCTCCAGACGATCTCAGATCGTCTGGTGGCCGTCTGGAGACGATCTAATTTTGGAAAACGTATTACTTCACATAAGTTTTCAAACCTTTTTACATAACTCTTTTGCAAATAATTTTCAATGTATACAGTTCAAATTTGGTGTCATATGCTTCTGTGTGCGCTGTAAACAAGCAATTTGTTTATTTTAGCCTTGCTTTCAAATCGCGCGCACTTTTCGCCGTACACGCTAGAGCACGTCAATCGTGTGATAACCTGTCCGAAAAGCTTGTGTTCGACTAAATGGCGCTTATTGTTGGTGCTCAGCCTCGACTCGTCAAAAACGATATCTCTTTTGCTTTTTGCTCCAAAAACGAAGTCCAGCCTGCTTCCAGACGATCTGTGCCGGGCCCTGATCGGAGTGTGGTCCAAAGTGAATGCGGTCGGGCAAGCGAGATTACCGACGTGACGAGGGCAATTGCAGGAGCAGGAGTCCACAATGGAGACAATGATCCAAACCAAGGATGCATCAAATGTGATAATATGCGCAAACAAAATTCAACAGCGACTCGCCATCTGAAGTCAACAAACAAAGAAAGCTGAAAGAAAAAGAACGCAGAGGAAACTGCACTAGCACCCAAAGCGAGCCTCACTAAAGCGGAAACCAAAAAGAAATCAAACAAGGAGGCCTGAATAGAGAAAGAGAAAGCACAAAGACTGGAACATAGACTAAGTAGAGATCTCTATTTTTTCCCCTTTCACTCACTAAAAGCCTAAAAATCACTTGCAAACCATCACGAATTGGTGTTGCATATGGAGGTCACTCAGAACGCAAGAGAACATTCTGTCTTGAGATCGCATTTTTGAGAACAAATCCTCTTTATCAATAAGCAAACAGTCTTGAGTGGAAGTGATTCTGTCACTTTCACAGAAAATTTTCATCAAATGCTATCTGTAGGCTTGGGAACATGGACTAGAAGAGCCATATTGTGCGATATACTGTGCATTCCAAAAAAGGTATCACCTACATGAGATCAGCAGGGCTTAGCCGGGCCCCTCTGAAAAGTGTACCAACTTGAAAAAGACGGCACAGTACTGTACCGTTCTTAAGGAGGAATTGCAACCGGTTTCTCTCTCTAGAAGCATCGCTATTATGCTTAGGTAACGGAAAGAGAGTCGAATATTGTGGGAGGCGTGCCAGTGTTACCCAGGCAGCCGCCTGGTGCCGCAGCCAGCCGCCAGAGCTGGCACCAGCGTCGCGGCTGAGCTACCGTAAGCGCGCCCTCGTCGTCCGCAGTCTCTCGCAGAGAGATTTTCGCAGCAGTCTCGCACCTCATCGCGCTGAGGTGCGAGAATTCCCTCAGAGGTCGAGCTACTGCCACATATTATATATCGATCAACACTGCGGAAAATTTGTAGTTTATTAGTAATATACATTTAAAAAAATATACAAAAACAAAAAAAAGTTAAATAAATAAAAAAACAACACAAAAAATCAGAAATGAAAATCACAATCAAATTTACAATTTTACATCCGCACTGCTGTCAAATGGTTTTCTCTGTGACAAATTTCGACATTTTAATACAAAAACTATTTATAGAAGCTGTTGGTATGTAATTTCCTGTCTCATATTCTTCTCTAAAGCTGCGCATCGCATCAATAATTTCGGCGCAACACATCCTTCTTTCGTAATGGCTTCACGCTTCGAGGATGCTGAAATTTTTTTTCAAATGCATAGGACTAGAAAATATCAGCGGCTGAAGAGTATCTTTCAACGGCTGAAGAGTAGAGCTGGCTTGTAGCAGGTAGCGGATTCTGGGAATGATAGATTTTCAAAAAGATTCGGTAACAAGCAAAAAATCAAAAATTACCTCCAAAAGCGACGGATTTTCTACATAGGTAATTTGAGCAAGATGCTCAGACTGAAGGCTGTAAAGCTGAGAGTTTGACATCTCGAATCTTAGCTGCTCAGCATCATTTCATCTTTTATACCTCCATATGTGGCACACTTTTTCTAATATCTGACTTAGTTGGTGTTAGAAGTCTTCTGCCCCAAAGGTCACAACGAATTGTGCCAAAAAACCATTCAATAATCTATTTTATATTTTTTATGAACTTACTCCACGATATTATGCCTTTAATTTAATTTTATAATCATCTATAAATTTATTTATTTAACTTTTTTTGTTTTTTTATACTTTTTGTAATGTTATTACTAATAAAATGCAAATTTTCCGCTGTCTTGATCGATATATGATATGTGGCAGTAGCGCGACCTCTGAGGGAATTCTCGCACCTCAGCGCGAGAGGTGCGAGGCTGCTGCTAAAATCTCTCTGCGAGAGGTTGCGAACGACGAGAGCGAGCTTACGGTAGCTCAGCCGCGACGCTGGTGCCAGCTCTGGCTGCTGGCTGCGGCACCAGGCGGCTGCCTGGGTAACACTTGCTACGCACCCGAATATTGTCGCCAACATTATGGGCACTATGAGCTCAGACTACAAAAAGCAGATCTTGTCATACTTGAAAGACGGATTTAGCTACAAGCTAGTCATGAAAATATAGGGTAGCTTGAGTTCCGGCAGCTAAATTCAAGATCTTATTATATGTACTACATTGCGCGACGTCTGATGAGTAATTATGTGCGAAACAAAAGCACAGCATTTTTTTTTCAGGAGAATCGCCATAAAGAATAATGTGGATCCAGCGCGTAGGCACCACAATGACATCACATCATTGGAACTGCCTGTTGCAGAGCGTATATTAGAAGATTATATAAAGCATCACGCACCCGCTCCTGATACTAGCGCAAATGATTTTGCTTTCGATGAGATCCACCTAATAAAATGAACTTCTTTATGAGTGAGCAGTATGCAGTAATCGTCACACTCAAAGATCTTTGTTAGAACTATACGCTAGAAGAGCCCTGTGAATGAACGATACGTACAATCGAACACCGTATGCATTGCGATTAGCAACGATGATTGTTCCCGACGAGCGGGGCATGGGCATACTGGCTGTTTTTCTTTTTTCACACAGGCTCCTTCCAACGTCTCCATAACTAAGAAATTCTTTTTAGGATGACGGAAAATGAGATTCAGCTATCGTTTATTCGTTGACCGTAACGACTGCTGACCTCGCGGCGACCGCTGCGCGTGCATGATGTTTTCGTAGAATAGATGAATAGAAAGAAAACAGAGGATTCTTCTCATCTTTATAATGTAGAAAAGAAACAAAGAATTCTTCTCATCTTAAGTCACGGTCCAACTTCTCGCTTTTTCGCAAGTTTAGAAGGCACGCGTCGCAGTCGCCATGCGGTCGGCAGTCCGTACGGTCAACGAACGAACGATACTTTTTCATGATTCAAACTTTTGCCCTATTTCGACACTAAATCTTTCATGACTGACGACGCAACTGTTTCTGTGACGGTTTTTAAAAGTTTACCCTAAATCAACGGCGAAGAAGTTGCTTTGCACTTTTATGTTTTGAAAGCATCAAATAATACTGTAAAAATCTTAAGAAGGTCTGTTAACTATTGTTCAAGCCTGACCGGTCTTGTTTTCGGACGAGCCCTGATTCTGATTAAAGTGTCAGAACTATGCAGAACAAGGGATGCCGAATCTTTTGGACGCAAATACGCTTTGTTATTACTTCAACCTCGAGAAAATGGCGAGGTGCAATCATGCAATATTTTAAAAGAAATTAATAGGAACATCCATAAAATTTGAAGTTTCTGCGGGTTTAGGAGTCCACGTACATCTGAATGGTGTGAGATCAGAAGAGAGGATTCAAGCTTAAACACGTCCATGTTAGTCGAACGCTTCCACCGCAAAATTGAGCACGAATTCATCCAAACTGGTAAAAGTGGACTTTTTAGTAGACCTACCGAAATATTGTTCCCGTCATGGAGGAAGACAGGCGAATGAAGGCGACTATCATTTAAGCTCATCGATACACCGTGAACATATTCAAATGGCAAGCGCTTTCGGGAAGGCCGCCATGGGCTTTTGTTGAACAGCACAGAAGGCACAACAACGACATCAAGTTGTTTTGTGACAGCGGCGCGTCAGAAATAAAGAGTGTTGGAAATTGGTTGGTTAATAAAAAGGAGCGCACATACAGATCGAGCAAACCTCGTGCAAATGCGACAAATTTGTGAATCAAGAGGGAGGTTTTCTGCGCAGTATAGTAAAAAGGATTTTTCAACTGAACAACCACTGCTACAAATGTAGCGCATGTGGGTATGCATTTATATGCAGCTCTCCGGACGAGAGCACCGCGGGGTATCCTGAACTCAGGTGCATATTGCTTTAACTTATAGTGGTCAAGATGCAGAAACAGTCTTTCGTTGTAAGATGTTCTAACTCGAATATCTCTAGGACGGAGGGAATACGAAGGACTGGAGTTTAATGATCGCATGGCTGAGGTTCACAATATCGACGCTAGGAATCCCAGTAGTTCAAACCTTGACGACCGCAGAGGTTGAGACTTTGATGTCACCTATGGAAGCAAGTTTGGAAGCAGAAGTCGAAAATGTGTCATTGTCTACGACAGAGATTGCAGATATATGCAAAGAGTTGGCTCAGACAACCAATGCTACGTTGTACACTAATCGGATGTTGTATACTAATCAAAAAAGAAAAAGGAAATATCTCTTTCAATTTTTTCTTGTATATCACATTGTTTATGGTACAAAGAAACCATTCCTATGCTCTGGAAAGTAATGCGAAGAGAAAACACACAAACAAAGAGCGAAAGGAAGAAGATATCACTCCAGTATTTGGAAACTCTTTGGAATGAGTCCGAAAATGGGCTCAAAGCTTTGGATGATGATACTGCCAGTTCGTCGGCGTTGATAGCATAGGATCGTCCACTAGGTTTTGATCTTCAAGCAAGACCAACTCGTCCATGGGATTTGGTGGATTTGGCGACTAGTTTGATGGACTAGGAAGGAGGTGTAGATCGAAGGACTGGAATATTGAATGATTTGATAAGAGGTGATCGAAAAACAGTTTTAAGAAAACCACGCACTACGCGACAATGCGTGTACTACTTTATGCTTGATGTTCATCTTCCATGTACTACAGAGACGCGAGATAGTATAGGCTATTTCATTGAGAGAGTCATAACTCCAGCGCCTCAACTCCGCGTCCCCCCCCCCCCCGCTGTGGCCTTGCGCCGCGTTCGCAGACATATCTTTGAGCATTTTCCCTCTCTGAAAGCGATTTGAGACTAGAACTCCAAAGGATATACTCGTAACGACAGCGTAATGCCCGGCGAGACGGCCACGATTGCCCCAACGTTGGAGCTGTGAAACTCTCATTGACACAGCCTACAGAATGTTCCGCTACAATACATCACCCCTTACGTTTTATCGCAAAAGCATGTGAAAATTCTCAGAAAAATAAACTAGATGTTTGGTTAACAAGAAGATTTAATTACCTGGAAGAGCTCATGACACTCGCATCCACTGGCGATGTGCTTCCGGAAGAAGGGCAAGGTGGCAGGGTGCCTAACTGCTCGATGCTAGAGCTTGGCTGCAGTTACGCTGTTGCGTACGCTCTTCTTCTGGTAGTTGATTGACGAGCTGGTCGAGATCGAACTCGAGACTCTGAGAAGACGAGGCACTGACATTAGTAAGCTAGAAAATAAATGATATTCGCGCTATCTCACCTCGTCTGAGTGATCTGCGCCTGTAAACCAAACGATACTAGACAGAGTAAGGAAAGCCACCAAAACACCTACTGAAACAACGTACTTAGTTCAAGGATCACAATTGGCTCGTTTTTCTGAATGCTTTCATTCACTCACATAGCGGAAAGGGTAAAAGGGAGGAGGAACAAAAACAACGACAAAAGATTGTGAATGAGTGTGCTTACCTTTGCAGATTACATTCTTAGCAGATTCGAATGAGTTGACGCAGATTTCCAGACGTCCGCAACCTATACTGAAGGCACTTTATTGAGCTCAGATACTTTTTCCGGCTGGTGACCGGGCGACGGCGGCCTTCCGGCCGAGGGCCGCGCCATCTTCTGGGGCGGAGCCTAAAACCGGCCGAGGAGCGGGCTAGAAGCTACCACCGGCTGGCTCCCGGTCGCGTCCGCAAAAGCGCGCGAAGGCGCACAAAATCACGAATACCGTCAGATTAAATAGTGAGCATGCGATTTCATCATCACTACGCGCCTTACAAGACCTTTGGTTCTTGTTTTTTTCGTGATTGTTTTTGTGGTACTGTGTCTTTCTTTTTTCAGTTTCAGCAGACAAGGAATGCTTCCATGTCGTCACTAAACTGTAATATTGTTTGTGTTCAAAAATGTTTATTAGTGTTTTCATGTGATTTCCCTTTGTTATTTGGTCATTTGGTCTGCTTCCATCCCCACGAAAAAGGAAGACCCTCATAGGTACATGATTGACATTTCTTTATCGACCAGCATATCCTCAAACATTTTTCAGATTGGAGTGCGTTAGTTCACAAGTTGAAATGCTTGAGACTGCTAATGATGGAGTACCTGCTGTGGTTGAGCTGGATTATCTGCTTATTTGTCTGCTCCGGAGAACATTCTGTCTATATAATAAGTGCTCTAACAACTTGGTGGTTGGTTTGTAAAAAATGTGCAAAAGACTTATTTGTACTTGTAAGTAATTAAAATAATTTTTAAAAAATTTTAAAAATTCAATTTAAAGAATAACATAACTTCAATTATGCCACAATGCTGCTGTAGCCTACTGCAGTTGGCTCTCATCTTCATAAGATCCCTATGATCTTTATTTGCAGGTACACCCGGCTGACTTCTTACTTTTGTGTGAGATACGTGTCACGAATCTTGGGAGGGAGTCGTTTCTTCTAGCTTCAGTTTCTAAGCTCAAGAGTCTACATGCGGATTTGCTCACTGTTTGGGTCGTGCATCCCAGAATTGTTCCCATATAAGCCATCAACGTGCCTGTCTTTCGATCTTTTCAACGCGTTGACTCCAGCAAGTAAGGCGCTTATCCGTAGCTGACTGTTGAAATGATCGAAAGACCACGTTGAAGTTCCGATGGGAACAGTTTTGGAGAATTCACCATATGTAATGCAATATGTTCTTTATATTGTGTTTACACATGTTGTATGTTGTACATATGTTGAACATAATTCGTGTCTTCTCTGTTGTCCCTCTTGTAAATATCGAATGAAATATTATAAAAGATTTTTGTATAACACTATATGACTAGAATAATAATGTAGTCAACGGAGCTAAACCTGGCGGGTCGTGCCCCGATAAGGGAGACGGCCCTTCTGAACCCACCGTCTACTACAGTAACCCCGCAAGTAGGACGCGGGCGCCTGCGCTGCGATCACTGCAGACGAGTCTTCTGCGGAACGCTTTATTTTCGAAAGTCTTCAGCGCACCTCGAGTTGCATTTAGATCTGAACGCAGGGATTATCCTCAGCTTATTCAATCCCACTTCTGTAAAGCTGCTATTTGCTGCAATTTGCTATTCTACGGCCTATTATCGTGATCGTATCAATCAGGTTTGTCTAGAAACGTGGTTTATATTTCTTGAGTAATTATATGAATGTCTTCTCACCTCGTTTTGATCACTTTTGTTGCCACATTTTGTTTGTGTGCATCCTTTCTGCTTCATGCATTGTCACACGTTTGAATGTTGTGAACTGCATGATGCGTCGAAGGGAGAGCACACGCGACCCGACCCACGATTCGAAGTACAACAGCTGGTTTTTATGAACTATGCACGATACCTAATAGTTTATAGTTTGCTTTAAATGAATTTCGTTCAATATCAAGGCATCTGCTTGATTGCATCTAGTGTCTTGCGCAAACGCTGTTCATTTCTCGCTAACTTTTGGGGTTGTGCATGGAATTTTGAATGTTTGAGCCACTGCTTGTAGATCAAATTTCTCAGCTGGATTCTAGAACTTCTCAGCTCTCTAAAGCTCACGAAACAGTGATATCCGATATTTTCCTTTATGCTTAGAACTAGGTTCGAAACTGAGAAGTATTTGTATGGTACACATGAATATAATTATGCAGCCGCTGTAATCGGCGCAGAATCAAACTGTTGGAACAAGAATCTCGGGTCTCGGGTCATCAGCAATAATCAAACCAAAAAGTGTGTTTTCCCTGCAAGCTTCGTTTAGTTAACATACACAAATGGATGTGACGATACACGATGCAGCAAGGATTGCACACATGGATTAAAAAGAGTTACAGTCGATGCCAATTACGTACTCCCTTTCGCATGGGACCTACGCATGCGCAACGCAAGGGCCCTGCGCGCGGACCGCCAATCGATAAGGCCAATTTGAATGCCCGAGCCATACGCGCGCGAACGTGGCGCGAAACTCACTGCGCTTACGGAAAAGGGAGCACGTGATTAACACGAACTGTACCAGCACTCACCGTACTCATACAAAAATAGAGTACTTCAGTAGTCGAAGCAAACACATCCCACAGATTTTCCGTGATTGGAAGCACGCCAATTTAGTGGATAGCAGCGAGTTTATTAGGTAAGACAGCAGAATAAGCATTCGGTTGACATCATGCGTCTACGACATCTCTATCAAGGGTCCGAGGGAGGGAAGTCATCACTGAGGAACTCGTCCGTTTCCGCAGCGCACCTGCTTAGGTCAACGCTCGTCCTATCGAAGCAGCCAATTAAGACGTGACCTATGAGACGCACTGACCTATCGTAGCCATCGCAATTAGAGCGGGTTCAGAAGGGCCTACACCCCCCCCCCCCCCCAATAATCCGCGCGCTGGGAAGCTGGCTGGTGTCCGCGCCGTTTGCGTGCCAACACCGGCTGCCAACACCTCAATTCCGGGCGAGCCGGCCGGCGCCGGCTCGCCCGGAATTGAGGTGTTGCCTCAGCCGGTCATCGCCCGGCCACCAGCCGGTCATCGCCCGGCCACCAGCCGGAAAAAGTATCTGAGAGTATACTGCCATCGCAGGCGAAAAGGATGGATGGATCTTGGGGACTAACAACTAAACAGATCGAGAAACGTGAGGAATTGGTACAATAGAGAGGGACGAGACGCCTGTGAAAGCAATTAGTACGAAGAGATGCACAGCGAAAAAAAGACGGCTGCATTATCACCAAAATAATGAAAAACAACACCCCCCCCCCCCCGCACAGAAACATCAGAAAACAAAAAGAAACAAGTTTTTCTACCACGACGCTAACTTTGGGCGATTTAGGCGTAAAATCAATAGTATTGTGCAAAGTACGCAACACAATTGATTTTACGCCTAAACTGTAAGACCCGGGTCGGTGGCTGTAGAAGTAATATTGTTTGCCTGTGGTATATCCTGAGGGCCCTTTGCGTTGCGTCCCTCCTGATTGCAGTCGCAAAAGTTAGCGCTACCCTGCGGATTGAGCCATTCCCCATATTCTCCGTAAATAAAGAGAAAAAAATGCGGATGATAAACGCATCTCAAGGGCGAATTAAATTTAGAATATGAGGAAGAAGTCTGCAAAGCGAGCCAAGAGAAAGTAAAATGATGAGATGGAATTCTCTTGAAAAAATTATTGACGGAAAATCTCTACTTTTTACTAATTGTCGTGTTCCACTTCTTGAACAATTTCAACCCAAATCCAGCATTGGATATTCCAGTCAGTCTTTGATTCATCCCTAAGATCCATCTATATTTTTTAAAAATTTTTGAATTGCAGCCTTCTTTGTTTTCTTTATTGCATTTACACAGTCTGAACATATCAGGTCGTAGTGATAGGGAATGGCTCAATCCGCTGGCATGAGCAGCGTACTCCCGCAGCTGTAATTGACTGTCGTATAGACTTCGACACGATACCCAATTGACATCGTGCGTCAAAAATGCGTACTTGATGTAAATACAGTGTACACTACTTAGCTCAACCTGTAATTAATATTTTTTCAACTTGTACTTCCTCCACGTCTCTCTGGAGTTGGGAAAATGACTGAAGAAAGTATTGGATCACTACTCGTACTGAAATCTTAAATCATGGGGGTTATTTATCATGCTGATTCCGAAAATGGTACTCATTTTGCTCGATATTCGTTTATTTTAGCTGCAGCAGCTGCCCGTTACTGAACAGAATCGCTTTCTGTTTAGTTTGTTTTGCACAAGTTAAAAGATGATACTCATTTCGCATATCATCTATTCTATGAACGGGAGACTCGAGACTGCTGTGCACATAATGTCTAAACAATGGTAGAACTTGCTCTTCCGAGTTTCCAGGTCATAAAAATACCTTCAGTTTGATAGATTAGTTTGAAAAAAAATTTACCAAACATCATACATTACCTCTTACGCGCTCGAACCTACGATAGCATCGAAAGCCCAATGAATGTCAGAAGTGATAAAAGTAATTGGAATAGGCAATCTGGAAACATCGGTAATCACGTGAGTAATCTGGAGAGACAGCCTCCTTACCTCTGACCTGCACTTCCACTTGGCACATCAAGTAACTCCAAACTTAGCTATGGGGAATCGGTGAACGGCTATCAAGCAAAATGAGTACCATTTTTGGAATCAGCATGATAAATAACCCCCATGATATAAGATTTCAATACGAGTAGTGACATTTTAAATCAATCAGTTTTACCAAAACTTTCTTCAGTCATTTTCCCAACTCCAGAGAGATGGAGAGGAAGTATACATGTTGAAAAAATATTAATTACAGGTTGAGGTAAGTAGTGTACACTGTATTTACATCAAGTACGCATTTTTGACGCACGATGTCAATTGGGTCTCGTGTCGAGGTCTATACAACAGTCTGCAATTGAAGACGGCGCAACGCAAATGGCCCTCAGGATATACCGCAGGGGAATACGGCGTAGCTTTGCTCCATAAAGCGTGCCTCCCCCCCCCCCCCGTCCAGGTACCGGATATCCTATTCTTATATTTAGCTGTGGTTGTAATGTGCACAAGATTTCTGCTTCAAGTCTGATCTCGAACTTTCGAGTTGTTGTTTTTAATAGTGTTGACACAATTCAAAAGTGTATTCGTTATTCTGCACTTGCATGATGACGATCGTATTCTGTGGTATCTCATGTCAGTCAAGTTACAGCTGCAAGACCGATCGGTTCTGACTGGCAAATACTGTCATTATGTGGTCTCCTTTGTTTCGACTCGTAGTGTGGCCCTATCGACGCCTCTTCAGACCCTCATACAAACGAAGACCTTTAGCATCTTCCGTCCTACGTTCGTATATTCGCAAAAGGAAACATCCTAGCTGGACATCGTACTTCGTGGAGTATAGGTACGATATATCACTTGCTAATACATGGTGAAGATCATGGTCCGTGATGTAGAGGATTCTGAATTCCAAGGCTTTCGTTTCGATGCTAACATTGTCCTGTCACCGTATTATGTCAGTGAAGTCGATGCTCCACTTCATGCTATTTCTATTCTCATTTGTTTAGCACTGCTTAGCGCTAACCAGATACAGTCTTATCACGTAGCGCCGAGGTTGGTGCTGTTATGGTTATTATTATGAGCAATTTCATCCCTTCCCGTCTGTCGCCCTTCCCAAAGGACTTTCCTGAAGGGACGCACTGCTTCAGGCAGCTGTGTGCGATACCTTTTTTACAAGCAATCTTGAATAGTGCCTCAATTCTCCTGAGCGAACGTTTGCATCTGAATTTACGGTAGGCAAAATGAAATCTCCACTGCTCAACTTTTATGGTTCCATGGTTTTTCTGCCCATTTAACAGGCCAAATATTACAGACAAGTGCAAGACGACCAATATTCTCAGAAACATTTCAATTTCAATGTCGATGGCGTGAATTACCATATTCTCAGGTGAGATTTCCGTCATTTCTTGTACATTTGATCAGTACAACAGCTGGTGAAATACTTGCTGTGCTAACAATAAGTATCAACCGAGAGCGCAAGATGTGAGATATAAATTTCTAAAAATTGAATCGTGAGGCATTGTGTGCTCTTCGCTGTGATGTAGAGCCGTTTGCTTGAACACGTCTCCAGGGTAACGCAGCAGGTTGTTTCAGATTTTGTTTATCCATGTTTTTGATTTCTTGATCGAATTTTTTTTTATCTTTGCAAATTCTTCGAGTTTAATCTTGCTCCATGCTGAATATGACACGCTTCATACTCGTATCATCATACTCTATAATAAAGCGCAGAGGGGACCATGTGACTCATGCGTTTGTCGCTATGTCTCGAATGCACCCATTGCACCCAGGATGTCTGCCTTCCGAGATGTTGACTGGAACGCACTTTCGTGCTCACTCCATAGACAGTAATATTGATTAGCAATATTGTCACCGAGTGGTAGCTCGCGTAATTTATAGCGCATTAGGATGGGTCAACTTTGGTATCAGTTTAGTTAATAATTTCTACAACTTAATTGTACAAAAGCATTGCTTTACAAAGTTGTAAATGGTGCAGCAGAAACTCCAAATGTGATTTTCCTCATGAAGGTTCTCAATTTTGATACACTAACAGCCATATTTTTATTATCTGTTCAACATTTCATAATGTGAGCAAAATAGTGAGATTCTGGCCGCATTGTAACTAAAGGGAGTGTGACAGGCTGGAAAGGTCTCCGAGGAAGGAAGAGGGGGGTTGAAATATGGCAGATAAAGTTTCGTGAATGTAAGCTAAATCGTAAGCACATTCATGAAGGGTCTGAGGAAAGGAAGCGGAGTAGGATGGAATTCTACTTTCTGATTGTGAGGTTAAATGTAAAATCTACCAACAGTGAGAAGTTCGAATTTTATTCAAAAACTTGATAAGGGATGTTTTGAGCAGTAGGTGATTTGAGATAGGGAAGAAAAGGGAAATCCAATTTCTTATCATGAGGAACTACCGCAGATGGCGCTTTTTGTAGAATGGGAAAGCCTGCACCTTAGTCAGCAAATTCTTTGTCGGACTGTCGGAGTTTCTTATGAGCTAAAGAGGTGGGACTAACTTACCACTCTTCTTCAGTGCTTCCTATTGAAATTTTGCGTGCCTGAAAGGCATGCTATATGGGGTTTGTGCTCTGTACCAGTAGGTGCGGTGGCTGGGGAGGGACCGGGGGGGGGGGGAAGGGAGGGAGGGGGGAGGGAAGGGGCGAAGGTCGGGGTGGGAAAAGAGGGGTGAGAAAGGTTCTATGGCTCGGACAGAAAAAGCTAGAGTGGAGCAAGCAGCATTTAAGCATTTAGTGGCACACTTAATTCGATTACGAACATTGTAGTGGAGCTAAGGTAGCATGTGGCATAGAGCTTTTTGAGCCCAAATCAGCTAAAGATATTCAAGTTTGTCGAAGAGCCAGAGACTGGGAAGTAACTACTATTCGATGCTCTCTACACGTGCCTGAAAGGTTTTATGTTATATCGACTACGAAAAGTTGAAGTTCTAGCTTTTGAACACTTCTTACTCCACACACACAGCCAGTTCAAAGCGCCGCGAAGCGGCGCTTTGAACTGGTTCTATAATAAAGAATGGCAAGGTTTTGCACTTACATGTTGACAAGTTACGGACTGAGGCGAGTGATTGCCGAGGGTGCGGAGGGTACAAATTCGTCAACAAGGCTAGCGTGTTTTCGAAGAGGTAAGCATCGTCCCTCCTCGGGGAATGTTTTCGAAAGGGTGCCACTACTAAGTGCAAAAAGGCTATAGTGTGGGGAGGTGCCGACACTCTCGTAAGGTTGCTAATAGTATCCCCCCCCCCCCTCTTTCGCAAATTTGTACTCGGATGTATGACTTGGGAACTCGGTGTCTTGCGTAAATATGCTGCAGTAGTTTCTCAACGTTTACGCTTCAACTGTTCAACTCTCATCTTCCTGCTAAAGTTTTTGGCAACCCGTAATTCGTCAAAGTTCATGGTTGCTCATAATTGGTGAGGACCGATGAGGACAGTTCTTTGTTCTTCTCGAAATAAAAGTTGTTAAAGGCCCGTAGAGCGATTTTTATAGGTCTCTAAGGCTTATAGGGCAATCACCTCTTACAACTTCGGTCTATTAACCCATTGGGTAGATCTTTCAATAAATGTAGTTGTTCATAGGACACTTTCTTGATTTGTAGGGGCTCGTAAGGCAGTTCTGTCAATAGTATTGATCTGTAAGCTTCACGTAGCGAGTTTTTTCCACAAATCATTCAATTATCGTTCCATAAGCTTCGCATATGGCAAAATTATTTCTCAGATGCTGATCTATAAGCGGCCAGAGCATCTCCTAGAATAGTCGATCTGTATGCGGCGCATAGGGGAGTCCCTTTGAAACTTGGTTTGCATGAACGTGAATATCGTAAGCGGTTCATAATTATTTTTTTGTTTGGATATTGGGAAATCACAAATACTTGTTTATAAGGGACTCGCAGAGCGGTTCTTTCTCAAATATTGATCTATGAGCGGCTCTTGAGGTGATTTTTTTTTCAAGATATGTTTTTTTATTTACCGGTCTGTAAGGGCGCATAGGGCAGTTCCTTACCAAGATAATGGCCTGCAAGAGGCGCATGGGCAGTTTTTCACAAAATATCGGTTTGCAACCGCCCCTCCCCCCCCTTCTCCCATAGGGCGATCCTTCCAGGCCCATAGGGCAGTTTTTTTCCCTTCAAATATCGTTCTATAGAATCTCATACGGCATTTCTTTTTTGAATCTCATACGGCATTTCTATTTTGAAATAGTGATCTGTAAGAGGCCTGTAAAGCAGTTTTATCACAGAATATCGATTTGTATGGATTTCAAGGGTATTTCCTCGAAATACCGTTGTGTAGGTATCTAAGTAGCTGGTAGCTCCATTTTTTTCGATCAAAACTTCGGTCTTTGGCTCCAAAGAGCACATCATAGCGCTTCGTACGGCAGTACAGTTCGTAGGGGTTCTAGGGTAATAGAATAATACTTTAGGACATCGGGCTGATTCCCATAGTGCAGCGCCTTCTCATAATTATTGGTCTATGGGGGAAGGAGGGGGGGGGGGGGAGGATAGAAGAATGGTTGTAAGTAGCTTTTTCTCAGAATATCGGTCTGTAGGGCGGCCTTAGCGCAGTTTTTTTCAAGTATGGGTTTGTTGGGAGTCAGGGGAGGGGTTTGTGTACTTTCTGAACCGGTCCATAAGCTTCTTATAGGGCAATTATTTTTTTATACATCGGTCTATAGGGATTGTGAGTAACTTCTTAACACATTGGTCTGTCAGTGGCCCATAGGGCATGTTCTTCCTATAGTTACCGGTCTTCGGTGGCGCGTAGGGCTGTTATTCTTTGATACATTGGTTAGGACGAAAAGATACGTCTTAAGCAGCCTCATAGCTTCTCTTGTTCTCAAATTATTAGCTTGTGGTATACATAGGACGGTTGTTTCTTGAAAAAATAGTCCAAGCGGCTCTTTGGGCATTTTTTGAAGGTTGGTTTGAAGATTTGAAGAGCAATTCCTTTCTAAAATATCGGTCTGTGCGCGGCCCATAGGGCAACCTCTTCTCGAAGTGAAGGACCGCAAGCGGCTCATAGGCTTCTTTTTCATGTGCAGTTTTTTTTAATATCGGTTTGTAAGCAGCCCACAGGGCAGTTACTCCTCAAAGTAAGGATCTGTAAGCGGCCCATAGGGCATTTCCTTCTAATGACTGATCACCGTTCGCGGGCAGTTTCTTTCGTCTGTAAGCAGGGCCCGTACGGCTTCCTCGCAATATTAGTGTGTAGGGGGCGTGGCAGATTTACCCCAGAATATAATATCATTTAGAGTTGTTCAGAGGACAGTACTTTCTCAGGTTACAACTGTAGAAGGCCCGTAAGAAAGCTTTTTCTCTGAAATACCGTTCTGAACAATCGTAGGGCAGCTCTTACGTATGTCGCTCTGTAGGCGGTACGCGGAGCAGGGTTTAATCAAAAAGTAGTCTGTAAGCGACACGCAGGGCATGAGAACAATGCTTGTTTTCGCTGCCGAAATTTGGGAACTAAAGTATGTTTAGCTGAGTTATTGTAGACTACATCGTTGTTCTGAGAATCGACTGCTTGGTGACTCTCAGTGAAGGTTGGTGGAAAAATTTGGCCCAAAGAAAATAGAAGGGACTCAAAAGATACTATCAACAATGAGGATTCTTATATTTAGAGGAGAGTCAGAAGTCATTGATTAATCAGTTTCGTGTTGCCCACAACTGAAAGGTATAAAACGTAGGTGTAATTGTGTTGACAACCATACGGCTAAATTGTATTGCCCCAACCCACTTGCAAGCGGCCCTTAGGGTCGCTAGTCATTGTAAAGACGTGGAAGCTTAGTGTCTGCGATTGCTAACCGACTCTTCCTGTTCATCTCATCTATAATGCCCGTGTCAGCAGACCAACGCTGGTGCGCCAACAATCGTCATTGCAAGTTTCTGAGCAAGTGTTTACTAGGGTTTTCTTTGCAGAATGTTTGCTTTTTAGGTAACCATTGCTTATAAAGGAGAAGCAGGTAAGTTAGGGAGCGGTTTCTGTTTTCTGAGTATTTATATTATCGCCTCTTCTCGGGTATCTACGTGGAGGCCATGTCGTTTCCATCACTTCCATCAGCTTCGTCAGTTTCATGTGTATTTTTTTTATCACAAGTCTCTTTCTTCTTGTGAAGCAATTCTTTGAACGTTAGAGGGCTCTGCAGCAACTTCAGTCACCTAAAAAGAAATATCATCTAATTAAATAGTTCGTGTGGTAGAGACGATGAGTCAAACGTAAAAGCCTATTAGCGTTCAGAGAAACTTCACTAGAAGAAAGAGGCATAAAGTGACAAATTTATAAAAAACTGAGGCGATGCCGTTTCTATATAGATACCTAGAATAAGCGATGATTTATCTAGTCAGAAATCGAAACTGCTCCTTAACTCGCCCTTTTCTCCTT